CTCATAAGAAGCAAGAAAGTTCGGTCGACGCATATTAATTATATTTTTCTCACAAATTTAACTTAAATTTTATTGAGTTCTTAAAAAAAATTAATCTTATTGTGAACTAATTAATTAATTAATTAAGATATGGATAAATTCAAATGAATTGGATGTGTGGTGAAGTCCATAAGAGTATGGTGGGGAATGTTTGTTCCGTGGAACAAAACACATGCAAGCTGGACTCCTTTCCTTAAAATCAGGGAAAAGTTGCAATAATTGTTTCTTTATAGGGTCAAATTATATATATATATATATATAAATTATTTTATATTTTTCCTCCCTATAAAAATATAAATTTGGATAAGAAACCCAAAAAGTTGGAATTGATGGGTATTACTATAATTATTTTAATTATTTATATAAATATTTAATTATCGTTAAATAAAAATCAAAACCCAAAAAAAAAAATTGAAATTTAAGCTTAAAAATGAAAATTATTTTAATTATTACTAATTAAATTTCAATATCATGCTAGGGAACATTGATTAACGGTTAATAATTAGGGTAATCAAAATATTAATTATTAATATTTTTTAATTACTATAAATGGGTTTAAACAAAATTATACGTGTGTGTGTATGTATATATATATATATATATGTAGTATGTATATATGTGTAATAAAGTGGAATCTAATAGTGGGTCATGTTTAGGGACCAAGGCTCCGTTTATGAGCCCAGTTGCTTTTCAATTAGCAAACCCGTATACTACACTTTGACCAATCACAGCCCATTCGTTTCCAAAATAAATAAATAAAATAAATCAGATTAAGAAAATTAGTACGAGATTAAATTATTATTTCCTCTAAATATATCACGATTCGTTATGATAAAACTCAATTCGATCGTTACAATTTTTTTTTATATATATATAAACGAGACGAAAATAACTTATAAATTTATAGAAATCATCCGAAGATAGACCACCTCCACCATGTCTTTACGAAGTCCGCTGACCTGTGCGTCCGGAGGTAACTCATCCAATATATAAGCACCAAAACGAACGTATTTGACATAAGCAACAAGGTTGTCCGTCACGTAATTCACTTTACAGTATACGTTGTAAATCGTAACTGACAATTATAAATATACATGATTATTATAGTCTTAATAGTATATTAATAAATTAAATTATTAATTATATTAAATCAATCATTATGATTCAGTCATTTTATGATAAATTTATAAAGTAACGAATTATGTGTCTTTAATAAAATTTAAATGTAATTTTTTTTATGTAAATTTGTGAATTTTATTTTATTTTATTTTCTGCACTTTATTTTTTTATTTTATTATAGTGAAAAGCATATAATATATTATATTTTTATAATTTATCTAATATTTAAAAAAAACATTTACGTAAATTTGTTGGAGATTAAGAAAAAAAAAATTAAAGCCTGAAAATGTGGGGACCACAACGCCGTGTTTGGTGAAGCCATGGCCCACAGAACTCGTGAACGACACCTACAACAGCCACGGATTAACACTCGACAAACAGCGCGTATGCGTGAATCTTTGCCTTTTGCCATCCACTCGCTACCAGAATTTTCAAGTGTACAAACTCGCAAAGCAGTTAAAAACCGAGCTGAACTTGGGGTGTAAGATCACGTGGCCTGCAGCTGCCTGATTTGGATTAGATCCGCGATATCCAGAGCGACACGTGTCACCTGACGAAATCTATCGAATAAATCCGACGGCTGTGATTCCGTCGACAGGAGAAAAGGCTTTCGTCAGGCCCCTCATTACGGCGCGACGAAATGAAAAAGGAGGCAAAAAGCAAGGTTTCTGCGGTTTGTGTTGTCTGACGTGGCTTGATAAAAATTCTGGATTTGACAACTCCGTTAGCTTTTCTTGTCACCGGCTATGGCCGGTAAAATAGGATTTAAAAATTATTAATTGAAAAATATTAATATTTTAAAATAAATGAAACTGTACGTATAGTGTAATTATATTATACGGGTTATAGCCGGTGGTCCAAGAAAACTATTATGAAGGAATGTTATCTACACACTATTTATGTTTATATTTTTATTTTCTTTATTTTTTT